CTACAGTTTATGTTATTTATCATTTAAGTAAATACTATTGTAAGTTTACAATATTTTTGTAACAAATATATATTAAAAGGGCTTGCAATTTTATTGGTCTTTATATATATATATATATATAATAAAAAACTAAATTGATATTATGCAGACATTAACATCATTTGCAAACTAAAAAACCCTGAATAATCAGTAAAATAACTGTTGCACTCAATAGAAAGTTTAATTAATAATATAACACGTCCTTCGATTGTCTATTCTTCTGATCATAACATTATTTTATCTTTAATAAATAGCAAACTTGAAAAACTGATTTTGTTTTTATAATGCTAGCTAGTTTTTTTAAAGTTAAATTAAAAAATGTGTTTAATAACTTTATTAGTTAAAATTAAATATATACAAAATAAAATCAAATATAAATTTTGACATAGGGTTTTAAACGAAGATTTCTATGTATATTTTAAACATCAATTTATCTAAAACTTGCACAAACTTTTGCTTTCAACATCATTGATGTTTCAAAATGGAATAATAAAAAATAATTGGTGTTAAATAAAATTCATTTTTGTTGATTAATATTTACATAAACTAAAATAAAACTTAAGTTGATACAAATAATAATAGACTTGAGCAGATTTTATTTTTTTTACACTCTAGAAAAATATTCTTCAGTTAAAAACTCTCTTATGGACAGCATTACAATTAGAAGGTACAAAAAGGAAATCATACTTTACTTTCACAAAGATATTATAAATATTTTATTTGTTAAAGATATTTTTAATATTTTACATCGTGCTTTAATTATAAATACTTTAAGGTGAATAAAAATTAACTTTACTGACAGTAAAGTATTTATAATTAAAGTAGGACAAAATATATTATGAATATCTTACTAAATAATATATTGAAAATAATTTATCATAAATATTTTTTTTATATATATTATAAATGTGTGGTATGTATCATGAACATCTTTTATGAAAACACTTTGGTGATATTATAAAATCTTGAATTTTAAGATACTATAATATCATAAGGATTTTAACATCTTACAAAGATAAAAAAAATTAAATCATGTTGTCAGGCGCGGACTGGGGCCTAAAATCCTACCGGGAAGGGAAGGGGGAGGGACACTACAAGGTTGGGATAGGGGTAGAATATAGGCTAGTGTTTATATAAAGGTCTTTTTAATTTCAATATGAATAGGTAAAATAATGTTACACTTTCAGAGTTCAAAGTTCATTCAGGCTTACAATATAATATATTATGTCATTTTACTTATGTATGAAATATGCATGATAATTATGTAGACAATGATTATAATAATAATAATAATAATAATACAATAATAACAATAATAATAATAATAATAGCAATAATAAATAATAACAATAATAATAATAAGACGAAAAATTTATTATGATAAATGAATAATAAATCTCTTTTTAAATCATTTAAAATAAAAAATAAAAAAAAAATGGACCCTGCGCCTTATCTGGTATTTATACTGTAACTGACTACAATCTCCTAATGTAATTTTTAGAAGAAACATCTTTGATAACTCTACGGAATCCTTACACAAATAGGCAATTACGTCCTCAGCTGTGATTGAAACCAAAGTGTCCTTCTCGGTCAACATTAGCATAAATGTTTCAAGCTCGTCACTACATAAAAAGTAACGCAGCCTAGTTTTGACAATTTTTAATTTACTAAATGCCCGTTCACAGCTCACTTGTGAGAATGAAAGTGTTAATAGATATTCGTAAGTCAGAAACAGATTTGAATAAGCAGTTGCATTCAACGAATATTTGTATAGAATACTAGAGCAACATTTTAAACATTTTTACAAAACAACATTTTAAACATTTTACAAAACATCCATTCTGAAACGATCAAGAGGATTGTCTTGTATGTCATCAAAGGCGAGTTCCCCCGCTATACGTTTCTTTTGATGAACTCGTTCTAGACGCAATTCTGTTTCAACATCTGAGTCCAGTTCACTAGCATCTAGGAGGGTATTGATTTCTTTAACAAATGCAATTGTCTTGGAATGGACATCTTCGACGATATTGTCTGCAGTTATTGTTTTGCTGACTCTACCATATTCCAAGCATTTATTTAATACAGACTTTTTGTTTGCAAATATTCAAATACTTGTCGCAAAACGGTGTACACACGCAGAAGAAGAAAAGCTGCAAGAAGCACATCGAATCAACACCATTTGTCATGCAGTGCTGTGGCTCCGAATGTTGATTTTGCTTCGAATCTTGAAGACATCGTCATACAATTAAGAATTTGCAAAAGAGTATAGAAAGATTCCACATGTAGAGCATCATAAATTCCAAAATTCGTTCAAGCGCCATCTGTTTTGACCACCAACGTGTTTCACCAATTTTTTGCAGTCTTTTCAGTTTCGCAGGTCGAACTCCTTGTCCAATGTGATTATCCGTCTTTGGCGATTCTTACAAACGAATGAGCGTTTATTTGTTTGTAAGAATCGCCAAAGTAAGTTGCTGTACTCTGCAAGAGACCAATTAAAGTTTTGAAAGCTAATATATTTTCCACAATATCTGTTGCAAACAAATTAAGAACGTGCGCGTAGCACTACATGTATACAGCATTTGGTGAAACGTCGTTAATGTAACGTTAAATTTCATGATATTCACCACGCATGTTTGCTGCTGCATCAGATTCACCCACAATTTTTTCCATTTTTAAACCATTATGTTGAAGCTCTGATTTCAATAGTTGGAATAGTCCTGCACCTGTTGTATCAGTAATTTTTTACCGCAAATAATCGCTTTTTCACGTCCTCTCCAAGTGCATACCGTAAGAATATTGTCTCCAGATCATTTACTAACGCATCTTGACTACCATCCATTTGAACACTAAATTTCTGATTACCAATTTCCTTGATTATACAATTCTTCATCAAGTTTGAAATAGCAGCTAGAACACTGTTAACTGTAGTCTTTGAAAACATTGTTAGCAAGCCTCCACGTCTACGCTTCCTTTTCCTTTACGCATTAAACAATCTTTCCTTTTTTGACTTGCCAAAAATGCTTTTTCTATATGATTATTAAGAGAAACGTCAAACTATGCTATCAGCAATATTGATTTCAAAAAGTTTCCGTAATCAATAGATTTATCGTGTAAACTGTAGAGAGATTTACCCCAATAACCTCTCAATGGAAGAGCTTGCTTCCCAATAAAAATAAGTGCTGCATAACTTCGTTTAAATACTTTAATTTTTTTTCAATACTTGCGCTTTCTGCTTTTCCACTATACCTTTTTTGATTAAAGAGCTTATATCTTTCTCTGTTGTACAACTTAATTATGCAATTACAGCAGCATTATGTGATTTAGATTCCTCATGGTCTTTGATTCTTTGGTATATATAGGAGAACTTTTTAAATTCAAGAGTGAAACTAGAATCTTCTTTCCAAAATGCCATGCATGCATTGCAGTAAAGTGTCACGATTTGATTGTCTTTATCTCTTGCGGTTATCCAACGTATTTGTACATACTTATTATCTGATATTATTCTTTGGCACACTCTTTTTGGATCATACGGTAAATGCTTTACATCTGTATGGTTCGGCTGAATCATGTTATTATTTACTAATGCTATTCTTTGGTTACGCTGTGCACTGTCAGGAAACCGTTTATAAATCAATTTTATTGTTTTGGTACACTGATATTAATGTTTGAGAATACTTGAGTTAGCATCATCTTTTGTTATTTCTATATACACATTATATATACTTTCTTCGGTAACAACTGTAACGAGTTCTGACGTACAGTCTGTTACAGTTTTTACGGGCAGTTTTCTAAAAAATGTAAAATCTGATTGCTTATCTTGTTTAGGACTGGAGGACACTGTATTTGACACACTACTTGCATCAATGGTTACGTTAGGCGCTATATTCCATAAAAAAGCTTTTTTCTTAATTAACACTGGGTTTGACGAGGGAACAGATGCTCTTCAACAACATTGATAATATGTTTATTATTAAATAGCCGCTTGCGTTGTTTACGATTACGGCTTGATTGAAGCAAATCACGCTTGTTCTTTTATTATCTTCTTTTGGCACCGCTAGACTTTCTCCTAGACTTACATAATGATTCGTTCGTTTAGGTGTATTTTAAACTATCATAAAGTAAACAGCATGAGAAAAACTAATGCACGTGAGTATTTGTTAAAAAGTTAAAAAATATTTTTCTGTCCTCCCCTAAAATATTTCTGAATTCGCCCCTGATATAAATGATGCTTTAATTGTATTGTAAGAAAGTGAAGGATCATGAATTTGCAATTAAAGCAATAACACTAAATGGTGTTATAGCTATTAATTATATGTAACATGTCGTATTATGGAGATATACAACTTATGATTTGGAGGGGAGGGGGCGTCAAATATGGTGGGGCGCACCGGGAAATTTCCCGGTTTCCCGGTGGGCCAGTCTGCGCCTGCATGTTGTAATATCTTTACTGTCAGTAAAGTAGTTATATTTAAAGTCAAAATACAAAAACAACATAAATCAATCCTAATAATATAAAAATAAAGTCAATATCAAAGTAAAAAAATATTATCGTTTCATTTGTTTACATTTTTTAATGCGTTTTTAAATCAAGTTCGTAAGTTCGCGTTTGAAAAAAAACATTCAAGAGTAAAAAAATATTCTTAAAAAACTCATAAATAGATTAAAGTTCAATACTCTTTTTATTATATATATATATATATATATATATATATATATATATATATATATATATATATATATATATATATATATATATATATATATATATATATATATATATATATATATATGTATATATATATATATATGTATATATATATATATATATATATATATATATATATATATATATATATATATATATATATATATATATATATATATATATATATATATATATATATATATATATATATATGTATGTATATATATACGTTTAATGTCATATAATAAAATTTTACCTGGTTGAATATTGAATAACTTTGATAAATAAGGTTTTCTTTCATTATTGTCGTACAAGGTGATATTTACAACAACTTGATTTTTAAATCCATGAATTAGAACAACAACATTTTCAAATGAACCAATTCGGAAAAAGTTTGGGAAATATGTCAAGTATCGCCTAAAAAATTATATATATATATATATATATATATATATATATATATATATATATATATATATATATATATATATATATATATATATATATATATATATATATATATATATATATATATGGTTATGACTTTTTAACTCATTATATAATAATAATTGTTTCTTTTTCTTTTGCTCAAACATAACTAAAGAAAGTTTTTTAACAATAACTTCTAAAACGATTTACCCTATGTACAACAGTTGAGTAAAAATAAAAAAATATGATAAGATTGTAGCATTTTCAGATTGAAAGCATTAGACAGGTCACGAATTTAACTCGGAAAGCTGCTTATTCAAAAACTATCCGTCAATTCAAAATAAGAAAAATGTCCAAGAAGCTTTTGGATGCTATGTAGCAAGTTTGCCATTCTCAAAATAGTGTTAACCTCAGTAAAAAAGTTACCCTTTAGTTTAACACTTTTTTGTTAAAAAAAAAAGAATCAAGAACCAACAAGACTCGAAATTTAATTGAAGAGAACCTCGAGCAATCTGAATACTAAATATTATACAACTTTTAATATATCCAGTAGTTTTATGTACATATAGAGTCGCTAATAAGTTTTTAAATTTATATTTATATGTAATTTATTGCACATCTAAAGTGCATTTTTCCTGTTGTGAGAAAAACGCATTTAAAGACTTTAATTCATCACTGTATTTAATCTTCTTAATTCAACCAAACTTTTTGCAAATACTTTTATAATATGACATTATTTTTCATAATATAACAATTAAAAAATTAAAACTTAAAGTTTATAAAAAGCAACAATGCAAATGGGTTTGACATAATTTTAAAACTGGATAAAATCTGATAATATTCTACAAATTATAATGCTGCTGCAAAACAAGACTATCTTAAGTCTGTTTTTGCTGTTTTAATAAAAAGACATAAAGTTTCAAATTTAATAACTTTTTGATTTTTGATTTGATTTTAAACCAAACACGTCAATTTTTCTAAAAATGAATCTAAGATTTGCTTTACAAAAAAATTTTGCTATGGAACGACAATGTGACTGTAAAATTTAAATATTTAAAAACTTCATAATAACTTTAACTAAAAAAATTAGAATTGAAAAACAACTTGATGTTTGTAAATTAGTTGATGTTTTCTCTAAATAGAACTTTAAAAAAGGAGAATTTGTTTAGTAGAAACGGAACTTTCTTGACTTTTACGCAATCTTATAAGAATAGTGAGAATTTACTTCAGGGAACTCGACCATCTTTACAAATTCTTTATATTTACTTTGGAGCACATATTTCTTTAAAAGTACAGATTGTGGTAAATTAAAGAACTTGATGATGATCTTTGTTGAAAGTTGAAAAGACATTCATATAAACTACAATAAGTAGAGGTACCCAAAAAAACCTTACAGCATAATGTGTATCTGCTAAAACTCATATCTAGCTGGGTCATAAAAGGTTATCCTGTTAGTTGATTCACCATTTGCAAAGAATCACTTTATAAATTCAAAATAAATTAAAGAGGATCCACAATATGAATAGACATAGCTAGGCATAACAAATGTGGAAAATAGATCAGCTAAACATTTAGTTAATGTCTGAGTTTTTGGTAGGAAAAAATAAAAAAGTGAGTACTTATTTACAAAAAGTAAACATATACTACTTAGGATTTGAAGAATATAATGAGCCTTTAGAATGTATATAAATTAGTAGCAAATTACTTGACAAACTCATTTCATTTTATACTGTGTTTTATCAATTAAGACTCATCAAAAATTAATGGAAGTCATAAATGCTTCAAAATGAGTTAACCTGCATATAATAACATAAATGTATTATATGATGGTGCTGTTTTAAATAAAAGATAAATCAATTTGATAAGATAAATCAATTTGATAAGAAATCATCAATAATTTTTTAATAAAAGATAAATCAATTTGATAAGATAAATCAATTTGATAAGATATCATCAATAATTTTTTTTTTTTTTTTTTTTAATTACCATATATGATTTGATTGCATTCCGTCTTTTAAACACTTTTTATTTTTATAATATTGTTTATGATTGGCAAAACCTTTTTTTACCCACTCACCATCTGTTAAGACAATATATTAATTATAAGGTAAATTCTTAGAGAAAAGAACACATTTATCTTCCACATTTTTTGATAAATATTTGTTTCTCATATGACAATTAGCTTTTTGTTCAAAATTATATTTTTCTGTTGTTTTTTCGTTTAAAATTATATTTTTGAATAAATCATTACTGAACCATTTTATAATTATTTCCATATTTTTTGTACAACTGTTGCTAAAATTAAAATGTATTTTAAATAAAAATATTATGTTTCCACCCTAGTATATATATATATATATATATATATATATATAT